ATGAAGATATAGAAATATAGATAAGTTATAGTGCTTGGGAACGAGGTTATTCCGGGCGAGACCCTTGGAATTAAATTCGGAAAAATTAAATTCCGACCTCGCTGAGAATATTCTCATCTTTATATAGACATATATGTTTAGCATTACATTAACCTGCTAAATACGATCACCCTCTTATTACGAACTATATATAGTCATATACATTCAGCATTACATTAATCTGCTTAATATGATCACCCTGTTGTTTATACATTCAGCATTAAGTTAGCCGATTCTCAGATGTAAACTATTATTTACCTCATGTTCAGTTCTGAACGGTTTTATAAGTGGACTTTCGTAGAAAACAAGTGTTCGTACGTTGTGCTGTTCGAGTGATGTTTTTTTTTTTGCATCCGCAGTATTGAAGTGGGGTCTCTCGTCATCCTGGCTCGTACATGCTCCAGAGGCTTTGCACCATCACATGACGGCAGCCATGACAGGAGGCAGGAACAATTGAATCTGGTCGAATCTAATTTAAAAAAGAGTTCAGCCATCTTTCTACGGTTGATTATTTCGTTAACATGGACAAGAATTTTCACAATGTGAACGACTAATTTTCTAGATTTATCATATTCAATGTCATCGATCCCTTTCCATATTCTACTTTTCCTTGGTTTCACAAACCGTATAATTATAACTATCAAGATTTTCTTGTGCATGGGTTGCTTTCTAATATTCTATCCCTCATCGACTTCGCTCTTAGCCATCCATGATTAAAGTTATTATACATCTATTTCAAAAAAAGGTTAATGAAGGTCTTGTTGCATACCAAGTCCGAAATCACTAGTGCACTATGGCCACAATTTAAAACAATATGAAACATTTCCTAAAACTTTGTTTGCACATTTTTTCGGTACATTTTCTTCTGTGTTGACAATATTTACGCATTCAAATTTGGTAAGGAACATCCAACGTGCCACAAAATCTTCAACAACCTCTTTTCAAATAGCTGTAATATAATTCTATATATAATGTCATATTCTATCCATTTTTTTCCCTTTTTGATTCAATTGCACTAACAACCCTGTTCTTCGACATGAAGACAAGGTTGATTTGAAAGCAAGGCACGCCAACTCATTGTTTGACACAGCGAAAGTTTCCAAGTGTTCTCTATTATCTTCTGATAAAACGAAATATTTTCCACCAACTTGGTGAATCTTTTCACGGATGGGTTTTATTTCCTATATTTTCGAGTTAAAGACGTTTTTTGTTTTTCAAGCTGAAAACTTTGAATTAGTAAATCTTGAACTACGAACAAAACGTTTGCTGATTGGCTCATTTGTTCTGCCTGATAGAACCGAGATCACCTGGAAGTTTTTTTGATTTGATTTGATTTGATGCATGTATGCCTTTTATATTATGTCGGGTTTTCCCAACTCGAGCTTACTGCCCTTTCTTTCCGTGAGCTCTCTTCGCATTGTTTTGAGACCACAGAGTGAGCTACAAGATTCATTCAATCTCAATGCGTCATAACTATAATATACCCAGTGTGCACGTAGCCTCCGTTGGTAGGGTCACTCGAGGATCCAGCATCACATCTCCCCATTCTAAACAGAGCTAAACATTTACTGTGAACTAATTTTTTCAAGCTAAAAAAATATTTATTACGAAGCAATAACTACTGAATAATTGATTAAATCGTAACTCGGTCTTCTAAAATGAATTTTAAATTAACTGCCATTTAACAGTTAGCAAAAGTGTGAAAAAAAGAAAAAAAGAAAGGAATGTACTTTTCATCATACACCAATGGAATATGAAATAGCAACGCTTCTACTAATGGAAATTAAAGAAACTTTGGTAATTTGAATGCAATGAATTTTGAAAATTAAATTTACAGTGGAGATATCCATAACAGGAGTGTTTTGTAAACAGCAGCAGGAGAAGGTAAGGTGTGAGAGGAAAATTAAAGGTGTGAGAGGAAATTTTTGAAAATCAATTTTTAATAAGAGTTTGAAGTAAAATAGTAATATGTTAGTGCTAAGCAAATCAAGTGATAGCAATATAAAATACATTTATGTGATGTATCTTGGCTCTGTGACTTGGTGAATTTGTTTAATTCACATCTTTGTCAAGGAAGAATGTGCTATGACAATCAAGAGTTGGGAAGCGATACGACCTGACAACACTCGATTGTCGTTAGAGTGGTTCACACAGGAATCAATATTGTTAATTTAAAGCAAATTCCTGGGACAAGAGTAAAGACAGACAGACAGACAGACAGACAGACAATCAAACAGACAATCAAACAGACAGAAAGACAAGCAGAGATTTTATCTCGCATGCGTTGACAGATATCTATGACTCCAACATGACAGACAGACAGGGGCTTTATCGGACAGCAAACTCCACATCTCGTTCAATACCCACGAACTTTAGAGCATCAGTGGCGCTGTATCTGTAATGTACCAACAGACAACTGATATTAGTATGGGATACTAAAGACTATCTGCCTGTTCACTCAGGGCACGAGAGATAAACTTGGAAAATCAAAAGGCGCGTTTCTCAATGCTGAACAGGAGGAACGCAGGCTGTAGGCACAAGAATAAGAGGGTGCGCATCAAAATACATACGATTTGAACGTTATTTTAGTATGTACAAATGATAATTAGTGACAATTCAGTGTTAACTTACCGGTAATCGAAGAACAACTCGTCTCCTTTTTCTATGTCACGTTTTGCGAATATTCCAATGCGGTGATCACCATTAACCATCATTACTAAATGGTAAAATAGGTATAAATCAATAGGTATAAATAATATATAATATCTTACACAGCTAGATCTCAAACTCACCTTTAGCATAGCAGTTGGGGCTGATGGAATGATTTGCGAATCGGATCTTATTGCCTTTACGAGTAGCATCGACAACAAAGTCTAAAAAAAAACACAGTAGAGTGAAGGATTTAACCCATGGAATAAAAAATACTAGTCAACGTGTAATAGTCAAATAGACAAGAATGAAAAAAATGGAATTAGGGTCTACTAAAATGCATTGGAGTACAATATCTCTTTTTAAGAAACGCGTTGAAACGAGTTGCATGAGGTTACGAAAATAAGTACAGTGAAACAGCAGCTAAAATTCTTTCCTGTCATCGCCGTCGATTGATCTCGCTTCTTAATAGAACGAATTGGAAAAAAGGTCGTTAAAGCCTGGTGTTCATTAGCGACGCAGAAGAGTCCTTGATCAACGCGAGTATAAAGGATCGATCAAATCGAGCAGTGAGTGCTTGCTAAGTAGAACTGTCTCAAGTTCTAGGTTTTCACACACAAAAAAATTCCTATTTTGATTAAACTGTATACTTCAACAGTTGTTTTTGTTTTTGTTCTTGTGGCAGTTTCGTTTGTGCGTATCGGAGCGTTCGTTCGTATGTTTGTTTGTTTGTGAAATATATAATTATATGTTATTTACCGGCCAGGAGGTCCGGATAGGGAAAAACTGTGCCCGAAGTCTTGAATATAAGTTTTCAAGACCGAGAGCACACTTTTCTGTGTACATCGTTATCTAATATCGGATTTTCCACTCCATGGTGGGCGGAAACCATAACAGGTTTTGCAACTCACTTGCAACTTATAGTGATAAGGCTATCGATAGATCGAATAGACTTTAGAAGCTGATCATTGCAGAGAAAAAGGGAGAAAAAAACATTTAAGAAGCAATCTGATCAGTCCAGGTAGTAAGTATTGTTTGAAAAGACACTTACCATTATTGAGATTGAACAAGAAACTACACATGTATTTATCGTAAACTTTGCCACGCCTATCAGCTTCGTCTTGTGAAATAACCTGTCAATAAATGAGGGATATTCAAAATCGACTATCCTTTGAAAACCCTCTTATTGAAGCTTTGCAATCAGGACCAATAAACTAAGGCCCCGTCCACACTATGCCGGATAAATTTGAATCCTAATTTTTATTTTTTCGGTTAGGCCTACCGTCCACACTAGTCCGGGCGAATCCGGAACAATTCTTCATCGAAAACGATTTTTTGATTAGTGTGGCAAGAAACATTTTATCCGTCTTCATGTGTGGACGGAAAACTTTTTTTTCGGTTTCGGTGTGAAAGTTGCCGATTCAAATTTATCCGGCATAGTGTGTATGGGGCCTAAAGCGTTACAATAGCCTTACGCGTAACAATGTCCTCGTTTGTAACACTGCCCCTATAAACAACGTCCCTTATGTACAAGACTGCCCCTATGTCGGTATACTATAAGGCAGCGCCTCTATTAGACAAGAAAAGGGTCATAAAGTGCACCTTATACTTGATACAATACTTTTAGTATCGATTCTACATTAAGTAAAATAATATAGGATGGTGAAATATTCGTTTTCATTTGAGTGCTGAGTCTTTAAAAATATAAAGGTTTATACTTCAAATATGTTAATGAGTTTAACGTCCTTATACCGGTCTTCATTACATATACGAGTTCAAAGTTGTTCACCATTCCACTATTCGCTTCGTGTAGAATCAATACTGAAATCATTGTATAGGGCATTAGGTGCACTTTTATCCAAAAACAATGTAAGATGAGTTGGTGCTTGGCTGACTTACCTCTCCGCAATATTCTCCAATGAAATCGTTTTTCTTGCAGGCTTCCTTGATGTAAATACCCCAGCCAGCCACGTCCGATGGTGCTAACAACATATGCTGCACACGAAGATAAACAGTATTCCACATTGGTAATGTTGCCAAATACTACTGAGCCCCAAGCTCGGGAGATTGGGCGACCGCTCCCTGTGTTATTGACGTTAAATAAATCATCCCTCTCCTCTCCTCTCCTCTCCTCTCCTTATTACATACATGTTTTCTACCTAAAAACTCTCATTATCATTCTTGGACTTTGGGTTGTGCATAAAATACTCCTAGCTATAATATATTTTTGTCTCTCTCCCCCTCCCCCTCCCCCCTACGTTTATATCGTTGTCGTGGGTTAAACCACCAGCTGAACTAAGACGCAGGGTCTTAAAACAACAGAGGAGTAGGTGCTGCTATTAAATAAAAAACTTACCTTTCTCATTCCTCGTTGAAGACTAACATTCTTGCAGCAGATCTCTGCGTTTTCCTCGAAATTGTCTAAAAGAAATAAAAATAAACTAAACATGGTTCATTTAGCACAAGGAGTTTCTGTGCAAAGAAAAAAGGGTACACTCCTTATGCATCAAGTTAGGGAGGACACTCTTGATAGGCTTAGTTCATTCTTGTTTATGGAGGATAAACACAAAAAGACTTAAGGCTGACACAGATGAATATATTATCCTAGTGACGTGACCTTTCAAACCATTAGACCTTATAGACGATTCTTCAAACTCCAGTCATGCGGTGTTTTCCCATTACATATCATGTGTCATTGTCCCGAAAATATTAATATTCTTTGTTTAAATTGTATCCATATTCATATATTCATATGCCTTCTAATGTGCAACCACTAAACCAAGAAATGATACTTTAGATACACAAGACCTTTAAACTCTTACATAAAAGTTGCTTAGTTTAACTTGTGGCTGTTAACACCACGTGCACAGCTAACTAAAACAAGTCCCAAACCTTGTGTAATAAATATAATAAAATATTATTTATTATCACTCATTATAAACTAAACGAGTTCCAAACCTTGTGTAACTAAACTATCTCTTAAAGATGGCAGCCAAACAAGGAAGGAAGTCGAATAGAGAAATTAACAACTACAGTAAACAAAGTTAGCTGATGTGAAGAAGGTAGTTTCTGAAATGGGAAAACATTGCACCACAACAAATAACCTTCTAACCTCATACTTTTTCCCATTAAAATCGCTGGCCCACTGGAGTCATCTTTTCATTGTGTACCTCCCTTCATTTATATCACAAGGGTTGGTTACCTTCAAGATAACAGTTAAAATAGGATAACCAACTTACCGGCTCCACAAGTCACACAGAGATCAGGGTCACACTCCCTGACGGCCAAGAAACATGGACACTGTTTGGTGTTACACTGTGCCTTACAACGACAGCCAGGGAAACGGTTCTGGCCTAAAATAAAATAAGTACACGTCAAATATATAAGTTAAATATCCCTGATAAGAGATAACACCGAAATTGCAACTTGAAGTGGTTTATAATCCAAGGGGGCCAAATGAATAAAGATCCTTTATTAATATACGTAACAGTACCCTTACAATAAACCTTATTCATTGTGGTGCAATGTTTTCAATCAACTAGAGATGGAGAGATGTTAAAAGAGGAACACGTGTTTATCAGTGGAATTACTCTATAAACAAAGTTGATTGATTGATTGATTTAGTATCCTTTTCTTTGTTTAACTGTTACTCACTAGAAGAAACATGAATATGGATACAATTCAATCTTCAAAAGAATCTAATTCTCTAGGGAATGACATGAGGACTGTAATGGGACTGTAATTTCACCAAAATGAATAAGGTCCATTGTTTATTTTGCAATAAGGTTCTTCTCATTAAATTATTAATGCAGCAATGCACTAAGGAGGGACAGGCATTCCTCTTTTCAGTATGTTTTAATTTTGCACAACGTAGCTAAGCAAATGAAAATTACTAAATAAATTCTAAAAGTTGCCATTTTGTTGCCAACACCCTTGCAATGTCATCACAAATAACGCACATTCATTTTTATTTTGCAGTAGAAGCAAATCATCAAGAACAGTAAACACGATACAATATTGTGTATTCTCCCTTCCTCCCCCCCCCCCCCCCCCCCCCCCCCCCCCCCCCCCTCTCCCCCGAGGTTCCAATAACTTGTCACAAGGACACAAACAAAAAATAAGCCCTTGTCGAAGAAAATAGTTCATAAGAAGGGGATTGACAGAAACTGTTTCCTAAGCTTGGCCAGTTTCTTGTACCTACTACATGTCTGTGTAGTCTTGTAGTCTCTTAGATTGCAAGTTTACTTACACTCATTGTTACACTGACAGAATTTCTCACAGAAGTTCTGTGTCATCACACAGATGCACGTTTGGTCACATGGCTGCCCAGGATGGTCACATGGGATATAGTTGTATACATGAGTTGATGTGCTGTCTAGAATTGAGGTAAAACCAAGCAAAAATAAACCCAGTTACTGGGTGTTACATTCACACTTGAGCTGAAACTAATGTTGAGACAAACTAATTTTAACGAGTAGATGTCCTTGAACATGAGCAGCAGCAAGAAGTATAGCAGAAATCTATTATCAGTGCAATACTGCTCAGTTAATTTGATTAGATGGACAGTCAGATCTAGAAGCACTAAATGATGTTACTATCTGCATTGTAATATATTAAAAACAGAGCTGAAAAACAAGTCAGTGGTTTTAGTTTGCTTCCTATAAAAATGTCTATGGTTTTGAAAAAATCTCAAAATTGACTTAAAAAAGTGCAGAGGCTAAAAAACTTATCTTAAACACTGTCTTACAGTTGGTGGTTTTATTGTATGTAAAACTTTTTTAATGTTTGTATTAAAATCTCTTTTCCCTAAAAACCTTGACAATATTTGTGTGACATGTGAAGTTTTCTAGAAGTAATGTCTTTCGTACTTTGGTGCATGTTCATACGTTTTTCAGCCTTGCCATATTATATTATGGGGGAAATGGTACTAGAACAGGAATGTATAAATATGAATCAGAATAAAGAATCTAAAATGACAGTTGCCGTCATCATTACCCTTTTTTAGTTGAATCTTGCGACAATGAAGTGACCACATCCTGATAAAAGACAACAAAACAGACATTGAATAATATTTTTGGTACAAATTTACAAGAGAATCTCATTAATATTACTGGCCTCTGAAATAATTCTCATCATGCACTATTGACCTTTTTTTTCAAGAATATGTGAAACAGTTGTTTCAATCAGTGCATAGCAATGAAAACAGTTACAGGTGCACGGCCCTGATAAATCCCTGTGTACCAACCTGTGCTTTCGTTTTCGTTTTCTGGGTGGGGTATTGGTTTGGTCATCTGTCATAGGAAGTGGTTCGGTTAATTCAACTTGTGCGTGTTGATAAACCTGCAATCAGATAATAAATGTAAAATAAATACATACAAACAACAATCATTGGCAAATTGATTGTTGAACTACCAAATCTATACCACAGGCAGACCACATGGAAAACGGTTGTATATTTCAAATAAGTAAGGGCATTACTTAATAGAACTGTTATTCTTGAGCATAATGTTTTTCCCATTTCAGACCATGTCATACGTTCTCTTGAGAATAAGATTCTTTGTTCGAGTTGTAGCCATAAATCACTCATGTGTCTTTTTATGTGCAAATTAAACAAAGAAATGATACTACATGGATTGACATGTGGACTGAAATTGGGAAAACATTACTCCCAAGCTAAAAATGGCTCTATAGAAACATGTTTACCAACCTCTTTACAGGTCTTGCTTTCAATCAAATTGGCTATTGTGCAGTAATTATTGAAATACACAGTTCGGAGTACACGGAAAAGTGACAACTCAGCTCCAGTCCACTCGGGTGAATCCAACAATGGTTGAGAATCAGGTTTGGAAGGCTATGTCAAAAAATCAAGTCAATAAAAATTTTTTAGAAAGAAATATTGCTTTATTTAAAAATATTTTAATGAAAGGATCCAAAGAGTGCTGTCATATGTCACAACAAGTTCACCATTTTAAACCTGCAAGTGAAATTGTCCTTGATCAACAGTGGCAGATCTTGGGGAAGTTTATTGAATCTCTAATACTTCCTGACCAGAAATCACGTATGGAATATGCAGAAAATACCAACTCCAAGAATGTAAAATTGTAACTTTTCTCGGGTAATGCCCACCAAACTAACCCCTAGAAATTTTTGTGCGCCATGTGCAACATTTTTCAGAGGAATATGTACGTGCAACTTATGTCCTAGATCTCCCACATATGTGGATTTAATGTTTATAAACATTGCCATTATGTGACCCATTTTAACATTAGGTTTTGTCACTTTGCTTTGTGGCATTGTCAAATAGATTTCTGGTTGGAAATTTAAATCATGATAATCAACCAAAACAAATTTGTAAGTACACACCCACCAAATACTGTATTTCCAAAATCCAGCATTTTGTATCTCTTTCCAAAACAAAAAGTTTCGTAATTGGATGATTTTGCACTTCCCATTTAGATGTCTATTATCCTTGGAGACTACAATACATTGAACTTCAGAATGTTTTTACAAAATGATTTATCATAACTTACACTAGCTACAGGGGTAGAACCACCTTGTTGCTGGGTGCCTGATTTACTCTTTCCTCTGCTTCTTTTTCTGGGCGTGACTTCAGGTTTGCCAGGTGAGTTGACAGGACTACCAGTACTCTACACATGGTACAATTCAAATTAGAGGACAAAACAACAGAATTCAAGCTACAGAATTCAACAACAGAATTTAAGCTACTCTAAAAGGGATCTATCAACTTCCAGTTCAGTTCTCCTATATTTTTTCTGACGTTAAAACAAACTTTGATAAGGACCTGGCTGCACAGGATTTCCACTTCTTTATTACCAAAGGAAAAGACTACAGTGTAGTTGCTAGTTTCCAAAAGATTTTGATATAACCAGTGAGTGGTTAGGGCAGCTAAGAGTGACAGTTAATTTCACAATACTGGTCATAACTAGAGCTGGTTGCTTATTAGAGTAGCCGCAAGGAGAGTTTCCATCAGGGCCCGATTGTATAAAGGGTGGATAGGGCTATCCAATGAATAATTCTTATCCAGAGGATAACTTTGTTGGAAAACAGATCTACTTATCCTCTGGATAAGGATTTATCTATCCACTTTTTGTACGGCCTATATGTATTTTAACCACCAACCTTCAGATGCATGTAGCAGTCAGTTCCACATGGAGAAGATTCTGGTAGATCAACGGGGCTCTGATGATCAATACATAACCACATACTGTATAAGACAATACTGCATATACAGGGAAACATGAGAGTGCAGATTTAGGGTTGATGCACTAACAAATTTGCAGTTTACCATGATATTAGGTAACATATATCTTCACATTAGTTTTTTTCCTCAAAGCTTTATCATACTGTTAACATCAACCATATATGTGTAATTGTAGTAAATATTATTTTACAGTATTAGTCATACCTTTCTTTTTGCTAAGTTTGGCAAGGGCTTCCAACCTGTGAGAAAGAAACAAAATGAACATCTGAAAAAACCATGATCTCCACACCACCATGCCTAATGAGGTTCATGATGGTTTCTTCATGATCAGTATCATATTTTGTCCATTTTTACTGTAATTATATGAAAAAAATGTACCATGAAGCATTTAGTCTTTTGAACATACCATGCATAAAACAATCATATTTGTAACATCGGCGGCAAAACAACATGTGGAAAGAATGCAAGCTCTGTTCTCTGGACACTGACTGGGCTTCTGGGCTGTGAGACACAAATAATTGTAAGATATTAATCTTGTCATTTAAACTGAACAATTAAAAACTGTAATAATATTTTGTAAAAGACCAGTGAAACAAAACTTAATATTTCGTTGTCATTACAAGAACATCTCAAAGAGATTTGCGGCCAAATGAAGTTGCAATCAGAATTTTTTTAAAACTTGGCATAAGCATACCACAGCATATACTTGTTCAAAAAATCAAAGGCCCTTAAACGAACTCGTGGATACTTGTTGCACTTTTCGAATATTTAGATTGGTCTTCCTGTGCCCTCATGCTTGTTGACATTCTCAAAGGATTCCAAATACTT